TAACCAACATGAAGCTTACGAATGACCAGATGATGGCTGAGCAGACAGTAAATGTCCCTTGCCAGGGCAGTGACAAATTTCATCCTTTGAAATGAATACTAATTGATAGAGAAATAATAAGGTCCAAATTCCTCCAAGGCCTGTTTCCCCTGTTCAGTAATACACCTGCTCCTCTATACCTCAAAATGCAAAGATGTCAAATACATAAAGAATTTTTCCCACCAACAAGTTGTTTTTCCAAGAGAACCAGAAAGAAATGAGCTTGGTAGAGACACACCTCTTCCTGGAAGAGATTCTGCCGATTCTTTAGGGCTCTTAATCGGTTTTGCTTGTCTTCGTGTTCCAAGTGCTCATCTGGGGGGTGGAAGTAGCCAATCAGGTCCTGCAGACTTAGACTTACAGACTCAATAGGTAAGTCCACCGGGGAAGACTTCACCTTCTTACTGAGAGCATCAAGGCCCCTAAAAAAGAATAGCGAACAAGTCTCTGTGGCAGTGAATTCACGATTTTCTTATTTTTTTTTTCACTTATAGATGATTTCACAGTGTTACTCTCTCCTTATACCACTGTAAAGGGAACATATAATCAGCCTCTTCCTCAAGCAGCAATAATGAATACATTCATATCACAAATTGTGTATCATGCATCTAAATATAATGTTACATTATAAAAACCAGCATCGAGAGCTGCTCATCTAGAGCAAAACCTAATAGACAAAAGGACCATTGTCTACAAAACCAAGTCTAAATATTTAGAAGCCAGCTGATTTTCATTTGAAGGCATAGTTTAAGGCTGTATCTTCCCTGATTCATAATCCTAACATTTGCCTGTTGTTCATTTGTTTTTCAAAAAGAAATTCTTAAGTTTTGCTATCATTGACACTAGCCTGCCACTCTGTTTAATTCCTGCAGTTAAAAAATACATTCTAATTAGGTTATTTTAGAAAATTTGCTTCTTCATTGGTTTATAATACATTAAAATGCTTTTCTATTATCTGAAAGAAGTGCATTTAAAAATTATGTGAAGAAACAACTTCATAATATACTTTCTAGCCTTTAAAGAAAAACATTTTACTTGGATATAAAGGCATTAATTTGTTGGGCTTACAGAGATTGTCGGTTTCAAAACTTCTAGCTTTGAATGTGTCTGAAAAGCACTTTTTTATGATATTTGTAAATCAAAATTATACCAAAACACAATATTTATTATACATAAAAACATAAAACAGATGCCATAAAAGAATGGGAAAATACCTCTTTATCAAATTGAATAAAAAGCAAGACCCAACTACACACTGCTAAAAGAAATGCACTTTAAATATAAAGACACAAATAGATTAAAGAACATACAGTGCTAATATCAAAAGAAAAGAGAGAGTTACTTACAATGGCTGTACTAACATCACACAAAGTAGGTGTCACACCAAACAATGTTACCAGGGATAAAGAAGGTAATTTCATAATGTTAAACTGGTCAATTTATCAAAAGAACACAATCTTAAACATGT